CCTGATTTCTAATGTGTTGTTTCATTTCATTTATACATGATGCATATACAGCCTTATAAGCATATGCTTTAAGGCAGCTGTGGCACATTGCGCAGGAACACATGGTTGGTATGTGTACCAGAACTCAAAGTTTAGGTGCACAGCAATGTTATCTTAGATCCAGTCCTAGGTTGTTCAAAATAAACATTTCCATAAAAAGTGAAATGGGGGCGGAAAGCACATCACTTTTATTTTCATTGTAAACAAATTAGTTTTAGGCAACAGGAAACTTTAGAATCATAGGTAGCACGATAGACATAACGTATCCCCCTTTTGTCCACTTTTTAATGAAGTTGATTTGTGTACACAGTATCAGACTATGTTTACTGCAGACTACTCAGTTTGCCCCTTGGCCTCTATACACATGGTTGTTTCATCAAGCTGAACATACTGTATGTACTTTATAAGTACGATTCGCTTTATAGTCCATTCTAAAGAGCATATCCAACCAAAACCTTTTTTTTTTTTTTTGGAATGGGAAAGAATTAGTAGTTTAACTGCTATCAAGAACTCCATTAGAAAGCTTTACTCTCGCCTTCTGTCCTGGTGATCGCAGTTTCACCAGACAGGAAGTTAGAGCAACTCTCAAAAAGCAAGACAGACAGAAACAAAAACATTCTTTTACTAGCATAAGGGAAGGCTGAAACCCCTGTATGCTTTCTATTGCTGCCCATGTTGCAAGTTTTCCCCTTCTCTTACTGTCTATGGAAACTGTTTATCACTTTGACAGCATACTAGGGGAACTCTCTCTAACAGAGCCACAGATGGATTAAAAACCTAACAGAAATTCTAACCATTTCCCTCTCTATCTAAAACAAATCAAAAAAGGTTTGTTTGGGTATACATTGAGCCTCATTGTGCATGTTGGATAAGAGGTCCCGCTCATTCTCTTCAATAGAGCGGGGGATTTTCTATATATTGACCCTATTTAAAACCTAGGCAATTCAGAAAATATTTGAACATGATTTGTCTAGCCATTCATTTTCAGATAACCATCAAATGGTTTCATCTTTGATTGCAGAAATACATGAAAGGGAACCAGTATAATTTTACTCCACAAGCAACAAACACAAGAAAATGTAAACTGTTGGGTTTCTAACTTGATAATGCCTTAAAATTGTAAATTGTTTGGAAATGTAATATTTCACACGCTTCTACTGATGTGAGATGATAAACAAGCATTTGTTAAAACTAAGAAAACTCTCTTTCTTACAGGTTTTGCCTTTGCTTACTTTGTACCAGTATTTTGCTTCTACAGTATGCCGTGACCCTGTCAAATGCGCAGAAGGAAGGCTTTTAAAGGTTTGTGAAATGCTACATTAATCCTATTGATGCCAGAATAAACACATGGCAGTATGAATAAATGTGATTACACTGAATGACTTTATCTTCCCAGGCATTGACTTGTTTCAATGCTCTTTTGGTGATTTTGTAAACCGCATAGCAGCATGTTCAGCAGTAAAATTTATGTCTGTGTTAATTGTTATCATGTTGCAAAGTTTAATTTTTCAGATGGAGTCAATAAAATACCACAGATCTATATTTTGTGCTGAGGATATGCAAACCTTTGAAAAAAACATGTTAATTTGATAAACAATGAGACCTTTCAAAGATTTGCACAAAGCATTTACATCCATATGTAGCATTTATGCCTGACATATGTGCACTCTATACACTGTATAATGTAGTACTACCATATATCTGCACACATTAGGCAACAGCGGAACAATATAAAAATTCCAGAATGCTAGAATAATGTTACCTACTGAATGTACCAGGTTATATTGCAAGGGTTTGTATCAGGTGCAATATTTGGCTGACATATAAACGTATTAAAATCATTCATATTGTTCCACAGTGCTTCCCAGATATTGTCTCGGAAGCCATATGTGGCCCTGAGTTGCCTTAATGTGGCTTGCAACAGACTCTGTGCAAAGCCTTAATTTAACAATGATGCTAGTGCCTCCACATAGCACTCAGCTTAAATAGTTTGAGGACAGAGGTTAAAACCACACTTCAGTAATTCTTGTTGAAATTCTTAACCGTAAGATCCTTACTCAAAGCCTCTCTGCAATGCCGGTCTGCCTATATTTGCTAAATTGTACACTTCCAATAAACATGACGCTAAGCAAAGGTAATAGGGACTCATTCACACCTTAAGTGCATGTGACTTTGTGCATTGTGTTAGGGTATCCCATTGACTAATTACACTCTTTATGCAAGTAACAGCACAACACGAAACACAGGACATTCATATCTGCACTGTGGTACGCTATAGAGTAGGTGCATTTGTTTAAACTGTATATGTGCATTAGGCTGCCATTCAAAATGAAGGGCCACCCACATATACAGCACATTAAAACATAGGTTTTAACATCTGTTAGTACAAGCACAAAAGTATGAATCCAGCCTAAAAGAGTAATAATTTGTAAAGGGAAAACTTTTTTTGTTTTGGATATAGTATGGAAGAGTTAGACCCTAAAGGTATATCTTACAATTAAGAAACCTGTTCCACTGATTACGGTCTTAAAAGCAACAGCGATAAGAAGGACAACGTGTGCTATGTAGGTTTTTCGGGTGTATGTATCTTTCCCAATGTCCACACCCAGTTAATGTTAAATGTTATTTAACTGAAATATTTACCCTCACTTAAGTATTTTTAGTTTTATATTTATCAGATGACGAAATATTTTGTACCTCTGTTGTACCACATTTGGACTTATTATGACACTTTAGATGTAATAGAGATAAAACCAAGACTGTAGCTGTTTAAATAGTGAAATAGGGATGTAAAAGAATAGATGTCAGACAGTTATAAAGGTGGCGTTTTCACTGATGTTTTTCATTCTGGATGCAGTGATTACTCTATGAATGTGAAGAAAAATGATGAAACACAATTTGTCAGATTTGCTAGTTTGCGACTGAAAACAAACCTGGACTGGCTTGTAGGATAAACAGAGCTGAACATCACAGATGACCATTACAGTGCTAAGGGCTATCAGAAACTTAAATGTGAAAATGCACCTGGGATTGATCAGAATTAGATTAAGGGCTCATGCACAAGGACATAAAAAACACTGCTTTTAGATCTGCCCTGCATGTATTTTTAAAAATGATTTGAATGCAGCAGTATTGTATATTATGGACCTATGCACACAGCTGTGCAGTAATCTTGCATCTGCTTAAAAGAGAACTATGGCCCAAACAATTTTTTGCGGTTTTTCTTTAGGGTCACAGGAGGACATATAATAATGTCCTCCTGTGACCCAAAACTCAGCATGTGGTTGGCTATTGCCCGCTATATACTGCAGCCGGGATGGATCCTAACAATATTGTCGGGATCCACCCCGCTGCCTGATTGACAGCTGGCTCTGCCTCTGCCTCTCTAGAGTCAGTCAGTGGTAGAGGAACAGAGAGGAGAGGGGGGGAATCCCTGTGTGGAGCGGTGACTAACAGTCACCATTCTCTGCAGGGAGATGATCGGAAACTGAGCAATCGGCGGTATATGATCACTTAGTTCTCAATCAATAGAGCTGGCGTGTGACAGCTTCAGTGTAATTCGCTCTCCACCTAATTTTCCTTTAAAATTAAAATAGAAAGTTCTGCTTTCAGTACTGTATCATTTTCATGCTTAAGCTGGCCATACACCTCACAATTATCGGTCAATTTTTTTTTTGTCCTGTCATCGCACCCTCCTTCAATTTCTGCACAAATATCCCATGCTGCACAGACCAATGTAGATTTCAATAATCATTTGTCAGCAATACTAACTGGCCAAAGGTCGTCACTCGACGGAACAAATCTTCGTTTGCGCATATGCAGTGTTTGCATGTGTTAATTTTTTGTTGTTATATGAAAACGCCAATAATCCATCGATTTTCGTCCATTTCGAGTTTTCTAGTCTGCCCGTTAAACCAAATTCAGTCAGTTGTACAGTATTTGCGATTGTGCACTTCCCATCAACTGGCTGATAATCGTACGAAAAACATATATTCTACATGTAGTAAAATATATCACCAGCACAGCGAAGTAAAATCTTCAACGAGTGGTCTTTTTATTGATATACACACAAAGCAACATTTCAGGGCCACTCAGGATTCCTTGATCCTCATGTAAACACACGAACATATGTACTTACTGAGACTGAAACATAAGCTAGAGGAATGGTAGAAGAATTTTGCAGATGCAATTTTTTATGGATGTTACATGTCGAAACACATGGAAACAGAAGCACTTTATAGACCATTGCATGTTTTTTTTTTATGCAGGATCTTTCAGCCAGCAAGATATATATATTTTTTTTAATACGCTCATGTGCCTGAGCCTTAACTGGTCCAAGAAATTAAAATCAATAACAAGAGTATAGATATTTGACTGTAACAAGTTTTGTTGAAAGGTGTAACATTGCTGCGAACATCCTACTAGTCTCTAGGTTATAGTGATTGGTACAAGGTTATATTTATAAAGGGTATTTGTAAGGCTAAGTGCAGCATCAAATAGCCACCATCAAATATTATCGTACTCTGGTTTGATGATTGTGAAGATTATTTCTGATTAGATGCAATGGATTTCTGTACTTTGCACATCTTCAGTGATCTTTACATTGCTTTATTAAATAAACCTGTAAAAGAAATAAAACTGAGCCCACTGTAAATGTTTTCCTTGAAATATTACATTGGCATTTGAACTGTGTTTGCAATGCATTTATGTTAAGCCTGTTTGCTGTGGGTAATTTTTAAAGATAATCTGCACTGTGAACACAGCTACAATGGTTAATTGTGTGTTTAGCCTAAACTACGGTAAATGCACCCCTACATTACATGTTCTATTCACAATAAACGCCAGTTAAATGCATAGTGAGCACTAAGATTGTAATAGAATAGCCGTTCCAAATGCTGCCCCAACATCAGTGTGCAAGTAAGTACCCTAAAGGACTCAAATAGGGATATGTTGAAAAAAAGTTTTATTATTTTTCTTCTTCATAATTCAGTAATGTGTTTCTCAATTTTATTGTGACAATTAATTTAATAGCATTGTTTTAAAAGTATAGTTTTGTAAGATTAAATATTACATTAAATAATCTAAACATAGGTAATATTTGCATGTCATGGTTATAGACGTACTTCATAATATAAATAGGGATAGGAATTGTTTAGGTCCGTCCTTGTTTTAAAGTCCATTTCCACCTTTGCAAGTGATTTGCATTTATTGTGATAATGTAGAGGTGCAGTGATGATGTATATATGTGCACATTTTCATGACTCACATTTTAGGCTTTCCTCGTGTTTTTTTAAAAATTAACCTTATTTTTAGGCCTTAAGCCTAAAAATTCTAAATTTTCTCCACAGGAAAATCAGTCAGACACCAGGGTTGGATGCTGATTAGGCTGTAAACAGTTCTTCCCCTCCCTGTTATTCATTGTAACATGATCAGCAAACAGCAGCTTGCCTTTACACACAATACACTGTCTTGGGGTGGGGGGTGTTGCCACTCCGAATACTAATGAATGGGAGAGGTGGGAAGGAGCTTGCAAAGCACAGGCAGACATTTTTACATGAGCTGAAGAGGAAAGCTAAGAAAAAAGTAAGTTGGTGGGTTCTTACACTGCAGCTGCATATGCCTGTTTTATGTACACTCGGTGCACATTGCTGGTATATGTTTTTTTTTTTTTAAATACCTCTGCAAAGGTGAAAATGGGCTTGAACATTTTCCCAATTGTGATGAGTTGGGAATGTTACTGAATGTGCCCCAATGTTTGCTATTTTTTACCACCAGATAATGTGTTAGGCTTCATTAAATTATCAGCATTTAATTATTTATGCATCTGCCCTTAGAGTTTACTCTTATTTCCCATGCAAAGTGCCACAAATATCTGTTGCCACTGCACTGCTTCTGAATACAGAATAGGCTATATCTGCTTGCAAGTCAGTGGGATGAAAAAAAAATGTTGTTCTCTCCTTCTACCTTTTATTATTCTTCTCTGTTTAACACATAGTTATTTTTAACATACAGTAGATGTTTTAATTAGCAATAGTATACCTGGCGCATAAAAATGTAAGTCACATAAACAATTTACTGCATTATAACTCACAATAATTGCTCCATTGAAGTAAATCAGAGAAATAATTTGCTGTTGGCTAAACAGTTAGTGACTATGGTCTACTATTAATTATTTTTTTATGTAAATGTAAAATAATTGTATTTCTTTCCTCTGAATTAAGATTAAAGTGCTCGCCGATTTGCACCTTTTTTCTGAGGCACTCTATGAAGTTTTGCTACTTATTCATGGAAAACGAATTCCCAGAAGACCTCATGAAGGATTCTGCCCTGGAAAGCCTTTGGTAAATGACTTTAATAACAATTGTTAGCTTTAAAACCATATTTATTTGAGTAGATTTGGAAAGCCTGATTAAGGTTGTATGGTTTTCACTTTTATTATTTTTTCCAGGCAAATGTGAAATTCTCACCCTCAAAGACCCTCCTCTACAATGAAAACCTACAGGTAGGCTGAGCACCTTTTATTTTATTAGGATTTACCCTGCAGAACATGTATAAATCAATGAATCAATTACTGAATTTAAAGCACATTCAACAGGAAGTGTAGTGAATTTTTGGTGAATATCAAATTTCCTACATTATTGTTTTTAAAATGTGAATCTTCCATCTTTATGTTTTTGGGTAGTCTTAGAATATTTTAAAACGTTACTCCAAGCAACCTGCTAACTACAGAGTTTTAATACACGTATACATATATCGTTTTAACTTCTAAAGGATTTGTAATCCTGTTCAGCCAGTTTTCAAGGTCCAGTTATTTTACCTCTCTGTAAATTACAACACATTTAAGTAATCCAGCATTGTCCACCTCAACTTTTGCCTGGACAGTGAAGAAGCAGCAGGAAATTGAGGAGATCTTTTCTCAGCTTACCCCTCTTGTAAGCATGTTCAGCAGTGTTGGATTTCTAGCACTGTGCAAAGCAATAGAGCCTTGACTAGCTCAGAGTGAGGTTCCTCTTTCTCCCAGTCTGAGTGCAGCTCTGCAGGGAATTACAGAAGACTGATCTCAAGATGGGTTTATGCACTAACAGCATTTGTGTATAAAATCTCACTTCGTTATTTTTTAAAGAATATATAGCTCGATTAAATGGTGTTTAAAATGTCTGTGAGGCATTTAGCTTTAATGCAATTTTGAAAAAGCAGCTTCCAAACTTTATTTACTCAAGGAATTCTTTTATCACCTATTTGCAGAATTGTCTGTTCTTGTAAATAGGTTTACCCTGGAGCTTTTGTTACTAAAATAAGGGAAGTCTGAACTTCCATAGAATTATAGGAACATCTAGTGCTTGATGTGCGTTTCCCCGAAGGTCTCGTTCCTGTCTCTAAGGCTTTAGCAGTAATGCTTAGGGCTCTTTTAATTGGATACCTACAGCCTGCAATGTAGCCTTGAAGACTTTTCTTTAGTAAAACACATGTTACCAGTTATCAAGGAACTTTGTAAAGTAATATAACAATGTTATTTATAATATAGCTTTACTTTTAATTAATAAGGCAAAATATAATTACTGCATTTCAGTAGCTGATGTGTTTAAATTGCAGGCTATTGAAGAAATTCTCAACAGAAAATACAGCACAAGTCTGCTCTCCGCGTGTGATCAGATTGCTGTAAACAAGCTAACATTGGCTAAAACACACTTCATTATCAAGCTGGCTTCAACAATTAATACCATTCCTGAAGTGGTTCAGAAGTCTGATGGATTTGTGACTGAGAAAAGCACAGAGCATCAAGGTAAAAGCAAGGCAGGTTTTTTTCACTTAAGTAGAAATCAGTTTTGGACAAAGTAGATAGCAGTTAAATCTTCTCTCAGAACTGTATTGCTGTCTGTGGGCCTGTTGGAGAAATTTCTATTCACTTCCTATCCCTATGACAACATTGTTACTGAAACAGGAAGTTAGCGCAAATCTCCTCAATAGGGCAACAGCCATAAAAGCCTAGGTTCTAACTCCCTTCCTTTTATCAACAACTTCATTCATTCATAATTACAGACATTGTTATTTCTTACATACATGTGATAATAGTTTTTCACATTCTATATCACCAGACATTGCTGAATCTAAAGATGATGATGATGATGATGATGATGCACCAGTGCAACTAACTTCAAAGCAAGACCTCACCCTATCAATGCTAAAGGTGGGCTGGAAAACTGTATCCAGTGTTTATTGGAAAAATAACCTTATCATCTATATAAGCATATTTTTTTATAAGCTATGCTAATTTCAATTTTTTTTTTAAACATTAAGCAAGTTACATGGTTTTGTTTGATTGTATTTTTTTTTTTTTTTTAAGCAAGTCTTTCTTTATTAGAATTCACAGAATACATTACTATCAGTAAAGTACAGATCGTGGAGTACATTACATCATCCTGCAGCCAGCCGGCCACACGAGACATGCAAGATATTCTGTTATTTTCTTCTTGAAAACAGGAAAAGCTAAAATTCTTAATGAACAACGAACGATTGATTACAAAACGTTGATCATATTTTTGTTTTTTAACTCATAACATAAAATAACATAGAATATACAGTAATTAACCATTTATAGTGTATCTTAGTGTTTTACACATAACAAAAAAGAAGAAAATCAATGATGGGCTTCATACAGTATATCAAAAGAACAATACTTGGGGAATTATGATAAAACTGTGCTGCAAACACAATTGCTACAAACTTGATCACATGTATCAAGCATATGGTTGCCATATCAGGTTTAGGGTGGGTTCACACATATCGAATAACCGCGTGACAAACGCGCGTTTCCGAGGGCTACTTGGCTGTATCCCAACGGAAACGCGCAACAAAAACACCCCAAAGAAGCTCCTGTACTTCTTTGGGCGCAGGACGTTTTGTAGCGCGTTCATACGGCCTGTAATACGCCCAGGTGTGAACTATACCCATAGGAAATAATGGGATTTCGGTGTTTGAGCATTTTGCAGAGCGTTCGAACGCGCTACAAAACGCCCAGGTGTGAACCCAGCCTTCATGTTTGAGAGTTTTTTTAAACATAACACAAACATATTTTGTACATGTATATAGCTTTTCTTGTGAGGGAGGGTCTGTGTTTTCCATTGTAAAGACTCACTTGGCCGCCATAATAATAATAGGCGATACCAATTTGGCATCATGTCTGTTTAAAATTCATTAGAAAAAGATCTAGTAATTAGCTAACTGGGCCTATAGAAGGTACAAGACTTGGCAAGTCTTCTTTTTAAAATGTTGACTTTCTTTACAATTGTGTTTTTGCTCATGTTATTCACTATGGCGCTTCTAACCTAGTGATTCTATGCTGAACAAATGCCCATGGCAACCAGTCAGATTCTCTCTTTCATTTCCAGAGCTTAACTGAACAAACTGAAGAGAGATGCTGATTGGTTGCCATGAGCAACTGCTCTAAATTCTGTCTGCTTCACTTTTGATAAATTCTCCCCAATGTTTCTTATTTTAGGAACCCATTTATATCTTGATATGGTTTCCCACATAGTGATTGTTGGTATAAATGTGTGCTTATTCTTTTAAAGATGAGTACATACAATATGTGTATATGTATTGAATGCAAACCACTCCAAAAATATGTCTACATATACCTGTTGAGTGGAATGCATTCAGGGTAGTGTAATAGTCATTATTGTGGATGTATCCTTAAATGCATAGTAACTCTCACCCCTTTTATTCAACTTAGGATATTTTATTAAATGAGGCCGAAAAAAGAGTGACACCAGTTCTTCAGGATATAAAAGTCAAATGCCAGAGTCAATTCTCTGAGTGTTCTGCAGAGGACCTGGAGATGGCAATTCAGACAAAACTTCAACTCTCTGAAATAGCACAGGAGAAGTGTAATATGGCAGTAAGGTAAGTTGAACTGGACACAGACATATGGTTCGCTTCTATCCAGCTATTATTGGCTAACTCAGCCCAGCACAGAGACTGATATGTGAAAATAAACAGAAAAATAAGACTATTGTCTTTAGCAAGACTGCTATACAACAACATTTTATTTAGTTTTCTACCAGCTTTGCTGAGATGCTTTATAAATCCAACCTACATGGTACTGTCTGTTTAGATGTTTTTTTACCAACCCCTTCTCCATAGAAGCCATGGGGGTTGATTTACTAAAGGCAAGCAGGCTGTTCACTTAGCAAGGGAAATTTTGCTTTTGCTTAAAGGGTATTTCCACCTGCTCACCAAATATGAGAAAATTAAATTACCCTCACAAATCTGCCCCATCTCCCCACCCCCACTGCAGTACTCTGTATGGACTGTACACCGGCTGCCGTGGGATAGAAGGCGGTTCAAGACAAGGTATGACCAGTGAATAAGGTTAACCTTGCTGACTTTCATCACCCAATCATGTGCAAGCAAAAATACTGTTTTTAAAAAAAAAAAAACTTTTTTGCATTTGATTGGGAATTATTTGCAAAGTAAATGTTTACCCACACTCACTAAGCAAAGGGAAATCTTGCAAACTACAAATTCCCTTGCAAGATGAACAGCCTATTTTTCCTTTAGTAAATCAACCCCTTTGGTTTCTGTGTACTGTACCAATGATGGCCAACAAGCCTAAAATAACTGTATGCAGTTTGCAATAAATAATAGGCTGTGCAATAAATAATAGGCTGTATGTGTGCTTTAAACCAGTGGTTTTGGATGCACAGCAGGCCCAGTGGCAAAAGAAAATTATTTGCAAAGCTCCACCCACTATTCAAAAAGGAGGAATAAGGGCCGGTTCACACTATCTGCCTTCGGGCTGTATTGTCTGTTTATTCCAGCGCAGCCTGAACGCAAGACAAGGCAAATTGCCTTATCATGAATGGGCTTGGTTTACACCACCATGTTCCCGTGGTGTGTGCTTAAAAAAAGTATGACATGCAGTACAACCTCATCGCACTGAAGTGAGCCCATAGCACTGAATGAAATGTTACCAAAAAAAAGGGCATCGGCACTGTTTGGATACACAAACCAGCAGACGTGGAATGCTTGCTTTATTCTTATGATCTGATACCAAGCCATTGTGTCTTACATGAGCCCCATCATAGGAGAAATATAGGGGTTTTCTTTGCCAATCTTATTCTAGAAATGTTAGTTCCCTGCCCGCCATACTGACTTTTAATGCTTTGCAAGTCAACCACCTAGAAAAAGCACGCCTGCATGTTCAGGGTGTGAATTAAAAAATATTGAAGCCATTGACATTCAGGCACTTAGCATTTTCAGGAGCAGTTTAGCAATGACAGTCATCATGTTTTTTTTTTCCTGAAAGGTTTGTTTTAAGTAAGAAATTACGAAGGTGAACAGATGGCCAATAACTATGCTTTCTCTTCACAACTGTAGTGTGGCTATGGCATTTTCTGCCCTGAAGATACTCCAGGAAGCAAAAATATTTACAGAGAAGAACGCATCTCCATCACTTCACCGGTCCACTCCAAGGAATGAGCAGGTGAGAGAAAAGTGGTCAAGGCACAGATACGAAGCACATTTCTGAAAACTGGAGCAGGCAATAGTGGAGGTGTTTCCCCAACCCATGTTTAATTTATGTGGCTAATTTCTAGAGCTCAGTAAAATCTGAACACACTTAAGAAAATTTAGCTCAAAGCTGTAACATTCAGTACAAACAATAAATGAGAGAATCCTGGGAAAGAGGTGGATCTCTCTTTTTTTTTTTCTGGATAAAAAAGGACTACACCTTCTAGAATTAATTCTCAAGCATTGATCCACTGAAATGGATTACACAGGGTTTGATATGATGTAAATTAAAAGATGAATTTTCAGTGACCGGGTTACAGGGACAACATAAAGTCTTTACACCTCGGAGAAGCTACAAGTAGATTTTGTCCGGGTTGTTATCCCTTTATTAGAGATATGGTAAAATGTATGGAGAAATCATACAATGCAACTGTATAAATGGCAAATGAACAGTTCCGATCATTTATTTATATTTATCATTTATCTTAAATGTGGGATTGTGCTATAGCATCCCAGAAAATATAGACATTTGAACGTTATTCTCTCTGAAATAGCTCAAGCTTTAATTGAGACTGCTGGGCATGTATGACGGGTGAAAGCTGTGGCTTCCAAGAAGGACTAAAACATAATCGCAATAGTTTGATTTGTGTATTTGATTTATCCAGAGCATTGGCACACACAGTACACACACATCTTAGTTTCTCGCATACATACACATAAATGCACATTTTGAGTGGCTCCAGGGTTTTCTCCAGGGAGAAAACAAAGTTCTGTTCCTGGGTCCTTGCACCCGGGAGCTTTGTAGAGCTTTGGGTGGGATAAAGCCTCCATTCCTAGGTTCACATCCTACCTGTAGCCAAACATCATCATTAGTCTTACCTGTCCTCAGACCTTTATACATGTGAGCTGACTGATGCTCCGGGATCTCACCTTCTCTTGCTCTGTCCTCTTTGGCAGCCTTCTGCTGGATGAAAAGGCTGGGTGCTGACAGAACAATAAAAAGGTGCGGCTTGTTTTCAGTAATTTATTATTAGGCACCCTGTTAGTTAGGAACTGACCTAACTTTAGTTAGTAGTTCGGGCGAGCAAATACCTTGACCCACCTGCATTGAAAACTGTGTTCGTTTGCTGCCTTGCTGAATAAAAGTGCAGGACAAACCTGCATGGATTGTTCCTTGTTGTCCCTGTCTTGTCTCGCTGTCAAAAGCAGTTGAGCTTGCCCCCCTTGATATAT